GTTGCAGAAAGCAGGCTTGTGTCTGTATAATGCACGTACCACCATATGCCTAGTCTGAGCAGCGGAACAGGGTGTTGATTGACACCCTCACTTCACGGGAATCTGCCTCAGAGATCTCCAGGAAACTCTGATGGAGATACTGGGCAATCTGCTGCCGCAGGTTCTTTGGCAGAGTTGGTTTGTTTCTTGCCCCATTAAGGGTAACTTTCCTGTGCCACTCTGCCATCACTGGGGGGGGAGCGACCAGTGCTGCACACAGGGCGGAAGCCGCAGTCTTGGAGAAGACCCTCCCTTGATTCCCTGCTCATCCTCAGCAGCGAGATATCTTCTATACTGAACACAGCCTGTGGAAAATGTGGGAACAATAATGATTATAAGGCCCCCACTACAGTGCTGGCTCTCCCCAAGAGCCATCAGCCCAGTGTACAGTATGGTCCTGGAACACTGATTTCATGATGCACTCCGCTGCCAAAAAACAAGAATTGACGGAGTGGCAGGACAGCGAGAAGAGGGACCGAAAGGAGAACGCAGCATGCCAGAACAGAGCTACGGAGTGGCTCTTAAATGTTATGGAGTGCCAAGTGGACATACTCCAGGCACTACTAGCACTGGAAACGGAGCAGCTCCGCACCCGCCCTCCCCTGCAGCCACTGTCACAAAACTCTTTCCCATGTGCCCCCAGACACTGCCAACACACTTTGATGAACCTTCTGGCTCTAGTCTGTACCTGCTGCTTTCCACTCCTGCCCCGTCACAGTCCAGCCTTGCGGACTCCCAGTACCCACTGCACTCCCTCTGCGGTTTAGCTCTGCTGAAATCGGTACCCGCTGCACTGTACTCCAAAGGACAAGGTTGCATGTGATACCCAGACATATAGAAATCTTTAACCATCCTGGGACCCCACCTCCTCCTGGGACCCTCCCTTCCCCCATCCCCCACAGTGCTGATGTGTTTTTTTGTTTGTCTCTCTCCTCTGGTGGTTGTTTTTTAAGAAAATAATTGTTTTGGTTTGAAAGCCATCTTTATTCCATTAATTGAAAGCAAACAGAGCCCTGCAAAGCAACAGGCAATTTTTTTAAACCTTCATAGTGCATCATCTGCACCAGTCACAATCACCTCCTAGCATTACAAGCACTGCACTCCTGAGCATAGCAACAAATATTGGTGGCTTTCAGCTTCAGATTGCTGCCTCAAGGCATCCCTGATCCTTATGGCCCCATGCTGCGCCCCTCTAATAGCCCTAGACTCTGGCTGTTCAAATTCAGCCTCCAGGCACTGAGTATCAGCAGTCCAGCCCTGAGTGAAGCTTTCACCCTTCCCTTCACAAATATTATGGAGCGTACAGCACATGGCTGTAAGCATAAGAATTTTATCGGCCAGGTCCAGCCTCCTGTATAGACAATACCAGCAGGCCTTTAAACGGCCAAAAGCACACTCAACAGTCATTCTGCACTTGCTCAGCCTCTTGTTGAACCGCTTCTTGCTGCTGCCAAGGTTCCCCGTGTATGGTTCCATGAGCCACGGCATTAAGGGGTAGACGGGGTCTCCCAGGATCACAATGGGCATTTTGACTTTCCCTACAGTGATCTTCTGGTCCGGGAAGAAAGTCACTGCTTGCAGCTTCCTGAACAGGCCAGTGTTCCGAAAGATGCGTACGTTATGCACCTCAGCCTGTGTTAATGTCTGTGAAACGCCCACGGTGATCCACAAGCACCTGGAGAACCATAGAGAAATACTCCTTCAGATTAATATATTTGGTGGCTAGATGGTCTGCTACCAGAATTGGAATATGCTTGCCATCTATTGCTCCTCTGCAGTTAGGGAAACCCATTTGTGCAAAGCCATCCACAATGTCATGCACGTTGCCCAGAGTTACGGTCTGTCGGAGCAGGATGAGATTAATGGCCCTGCACACTTCTGTCCAACAGTCGACTTTCCCTCTCCGAACTGGTTAGCGACCGATTGGTAGCAGTCTGGAGTAGCCAGCTTCCACAGTGCAATTGTCATGTGCTTCTCCAACGACAGGGAGCTCTCATTCTCATGTCCTTGCGCCACAGGGTTGGGGCGAGCTCATCTCACAGTCCCATGAGTGTGGCTTTCATCTTGCGAAAGTTCTGCAGCCACTGCTCGTCATCCCAGATGTGCATGATGATATGATCCCGAGCTCAAAAGCAGCATTCCACTGTGGTCAGCACCTCCATGAATGCCACAAGCAATCTCGTGTCGTAGCTACTATGCGTGGCGAGATCAATGTCGAACTCTTCTTGCCTTTATAGTTTAAGGAATAACTCCACTGCCACTCGTGACGTGTTAATGAGAGCGAGCAGCGTATTAGTCAACAGTGCGGGATCCATTCCTGCAACCCGAAGGGGCAGAGTGTGCAGTACACAAACCGTTGAAAGATGGTGCCAAATACGGACGGAAGCACAGGGATTGCTGGGATGCAAAGCAGTGTATCACCGGGCATTGGGACAGGACCAGGATACCCCGCGACCCCCTCCACCTTCCCACAACTCTTAGCGGCAGAAGAGGAAGAGATGCTCTGTGGGATAGCTGCCCAGAGTGCACCATTCTGAATACTGCTGCAAGTGCCGCAAGTGTGAACACGCTATTACGCACACAACAATGGTTTTCTTTCAGCACTCTCTGAGCGGCGATGTAGCTCCGGTAGCGTAGACATACCCTAAGACAACAACTTGTATTTGAACTATAACATATCTTCTAGAAATACTCCCAGCCTTGATTAATATTCGTCAAGCAATGGAGAACCCAGCACACTCCTTGGTAACATTTTTCATTTGTTAATTACACGAATTGTTAAACATTTGTGCCTTTTTTCCAGGTTTTCTGACCTAAACTTAGTCATTGGCTCTTGTTTTTCCCTTGTGTGCTAGTTTAAATAGCCCTCCACTATCAGCTGCCTGTATAGGTAAGTATAGACTGTGATTAAACTTCTTTTTGATACGATAAATAGATTGAGCTCCTTTAGTCTCTCACTCTCAGGCAGATATTTCAGACACAAAGCATTCTTGTGGCTCTTCTCTGAAATCTCCAGTTTGCCAGCATCTTTCTTGAAATGTGGCATCAGAACTGTAAAAGTCTCACCAATGCTGCATACAGAAGTAGTATCATCGCCCTACTCCGACTTGCTGTACCCCAATTTATACAGCCACGAATTGCATTTGCTGCCTTAGAGCACTGCACTGGGAGCTCATGCTCAGCTGCTTATTTGCCATGACCACAAGATCCCTTTCAGAATCCTGCCTTCCAGAATAAAGTCTTCATCCTGTACTGTAATCTACAGGCTCAGTTCCTAGATGTATGAAGTGTTGAAATACATATGGTATGATTGTACCAAGTTATCTATATTGCCCTGTATAAGTGCTTTATCCTTGTAATTACCACCTGTCAATTTGTCATTTGCAAAGGTCGTCAGTAATGGTTTCATATGTCCTTCCAGATCATTGATAAAGATATTGAATAATGTTGGGGCAAGAACTGATCCCAGTGGAATGTCAATAGAAACGCTGTTCCTGGACAATGATTCCCCATTAATGATACCTTTTTGCGATCTATTAGTTACCCGCTTTTTAATCCATCTAATCCACTTTTAAGCAGAATGTAATGCAGTTTTAAATCAAATGGTTTCAGAAGACAAAAGTGTATTATGTAGATAGTTATTACTTTCATCAATCAAACTTGTAATGTTGATTAGAATTAATTATATTTCCTTCCTTCAGTTCTTTGATAGTCCTGTATTTCTGGCTAACTGGCTTGTAATTCCTATTTTATCTTAACTACTCTTAAGCCTTGGCGCAGCAGTGGTTTTCTTGCAGGTCTCTGGAACTTCCCCAGTATTCCAAGATTATTAAAATTTAACATTAGTGGTCTGTTACTGTAATGATAGTGAGTGTTGGGCAGGAGAGAAGAAGAGGTTGAAGAATGGCATGGAGACAGGAGAGTTCTGAGCTGGCACTGTCTAGCTCTGCAGTACGTGCACCACGTGTGGTACATGGGTTGTGATCAGCTGGTGTGTGGGTTGATTAAAAAGAGACTTCAGTCTTTATTCTGAGCTCAGTAACGTACAGAATTGCTTAAAGAACATGTGAGAAGCTCCACATGTATATTTAAGATGAGTTAATTTTAAGTTGCTAAGGAAAGCAGAAGGAAATTCAGAGACAAGAACAGAGAATTAATCTACCCTGATCATAATTGACTGCGTGAATTGTGCAGCAGTACTGACAATGTTGCTTTTGAAGTGAGAGCATACAGGGGCACTCCCCTTTAATTTCTGTTCAGGGATGGAGAAAATAATGTCTCCATTGCCCACCCCCTCAAAGAACAAGGGGAAAAACCCCCAAAATCTTGTGACTGGCTAGAGGAGCAGCACTGAAAATACTCCTCCTTCTCCTTTCTAGCTGCTGACCTGAGTGGCTGAAAAGAGGAGGCAGCTGCAGAGCAGCCTTCTGCCATTTGGTGCTGCTGTGTCCTAGGATGCAGATTACAAATATGTGTTGCAGTTGCTCTTGAATTTTAGATGTAGTACATAAGGTCTTAAAACATGGAAACAATTGATTTAGCTGGATGGTGCTAAGAAAGCTCGTGCCTCTGAGTTGAGACACCTTAATACAACTGAGTGGGCAAAGCTCTTGTAGGTGGGTCTGTGGAGTACTGGTGAGCCACATGGTACTAGCTCCTTCTCTTCATTTCCAGCTGACAAACCACATCAAATGAAGTTTAAAATATATACAGTACTCTCCTAATATCGTCCATGTAAGTATAGTATTGTCGTGCAATTATGAGCAGGAATGGAAATGGTCTGTGATCGAGAATGGTAGAGGTGTGTCTGAAATGTTCTCTGTGAAGTTGTGGTCTGCATTATAAAAAGGTTTGGGAGCATCTGCTATTAAGAAAAATCCATAGACGAGAGAGGGATTAGGGAATCCTTTTCATTCACTGACCGCAACATTGGTGGATGACCATGTGTTTTGTTCCCACAGATGACGTTAGTATGACTATGGCCCAGCCTGGGGCGGTAGTGGCAGCTGCTGCGGGAGTCCTAGTTCTTCTCCTCTACTCCTCCATTCATAAAGTTGATGAGGGCCACCTGGCAGTGTATTACAGGTACTATTCCAATGAGTACATCCAAGGTTCTCAACATTCTGGGTTTAATTCTCTCCATTACGGTTCATCCAAGGAAGGTCTTATGTAAGAGATTGCCCTGCTCCATGTTCTGTGCCTGGGCCTCATCTCAGGATGGGCAGGAGGGCTATTATTGCTGACTAAAGAGGTAAAAAAATTGACAACCTAATAATCATGAGATATTAAAAAAATGATTTCTAGTCTGTCTGGATTTTGAACTCCCCTGTCACCCTAGTGTGCGTGAAATAATTACAAGGTTAAAATTCAGCTTTAAATGCATACAGACAGGCTATAGCTCCCCAGCTCCCTCCCCCAGTACCCAGAGCCTTTCACGCAGCCCTATATGCTTGCTTCACAACTCCCACACTACTGTGTGCCTAGTCCCCAAGTCCCTCACGTCCCCCTCTACCTAGAGTCCTTCCTGTATCCCCGTGCAGCTGATCTGACTCCCCACTCCTTCCTGCACCCCTGTATGCCTGCTTTCCAGCTCCCACCAGGCAGACCTTTCCTGAACCTCTGGGTGCCTGATCCTGAACTCCTCACCCTTCCCTGGGCGCCTGTTCCCTGCCCAGCGCTCTGGCTTAGAGCCCTTCCCCGCTGCTCTGTGTGCCTAGTCCCCACCTTCCACTTTAGGAGGCCAGCTCCCAACTATGTCAAAAGGGAGCAGTGGGGGCAAAAAACCTAACTGGCTTCAAGACTGAATTTGATAAGTTTATAGAGGGGTGGTATGATGAGACTGCCTACAATGGCACATAGCCGATCTGTGACTGTTAGCAGCAAATAGCTCCAATGGCTGATGATGGAGCACTAGATGGGGAGGGCTCTCAGTTATTACAGAGAATTCTTTCCCAGGTGTCTGGCTGGTGGGTCTTGCCCACATGCTCAGGGTCTGATTGCCATATTTGGAATTGGGAAGGATTTTCCCCCCAAGTCAGATCGTCAGAGACCCTGATGGATTTTTGCCTTCCTCTGCAGCATAGGGCATGGGTCACTTGTAGGTTTAAACTAGTGTAAATGGTGGATTCTCTTAACTTGAAGTCTTTAAATCATGGTTTGAGGACTTCAGTAACTCAGCCAGAGGTTAGGAGTCTATTGCAGGAGTGAGTGGGTGAGGTTTTGTGGCCTGCGATGTGCAGGAGGTCAGACTAGATGATCATGATGGTCCTGTCTGGCCTTAAAGTTTGAGTCTACACAAGTTGTTTTTTGCCCAAGTTTTTAACTGAGTACGAATGACCGTTGCCCTATTCATGCCAGTTTGCCACAGGTCTTGTCTGCCTTAGGTTTGTAGCTATACTCAATGTGTGTCATGCACTGGGACCGTGACCCGCACTGAACACAGGTGTCCTTAAGGCAGCAACACTGGTGTAAAAAGTCCAGCGTAAGCAAGACCTTAATCTGCTGATACTTAAGAATAGGGAATGAAGGAAACAAGTTACTTCTGTCACAATCTAGCCAATTGCTGAACTTTCCATGGGTACTGGCTGATGATAAACTACCTAGAGCAGAGCTCCCCAGACTGCTCTGTGGACTTCTTGCAGGCAGGCCATTGGCTCCTCCTATTCATAGATTCCAAGGCCGTAAGAGACAGTTATGATCTCCTGTATAACGCAGGCCAGAGAACTTCCCCCCCCAAAATAATTCCTAGAGCAGAGCTTTTGGGGGAGGGGAAATCCAATCTTGATTTAAAAATTATCAGTGATGGAAAATCCACCACGACTCTTGGTAAATTGTTCGAATGGTTAATTACCCTCACTGTTAAATTTTTTTGCCTTTATCGGATCATATTTGACCTTTCTCTGTTAGATTGAGGAGTTCATTATTATTTGTTCTCCGTATAGTTAGACTGTAATCAAGTCATTCCTTAACCTTCTTTTTGTTAAGCTAAATAGATTGTGTTCCTTGAGTCCATCACTATAAAGGCATATTTTCTAATCCTTTAATCATTCTCATGGCTCTTCTTTGAATCAATTTATGAACATCTGTCTTGAATTGGACACAGTATTCCAGCATTGGTCATACCAGTGCCAAATACAGAGGTAAAATAACTGCTCTTCTCCTGCTTGAGAGTCCCCTTTTTATACATCCAAGGGTCACATTAGCCCATTTGACCACACTATTGTACTGGAATCTCATTGTCTTCCTCCCTTCCCCCAAAAAATCTTTTTCAGTCACTGCTTTCCAGGATAGAGTATGGCCGACATTCTTAGTTCCAGGATGTATGCTTTTACATATGTCTCCATTAAAATGCATGTTGCTTGCTTGCTTACTAGGCGATCCAGATCACTCTGAATCAGTGACCTGTCCTCTTCGTTATTTACCACTCCCCCAATTTTTGTGTCATCTGCAAACTTTATCAGTGATTTGTTTTCTTCCAGGTCATTGATAAAAATGTTAAATAGCATAGGGCCAACAACCAATCTCGGCAGGACCCCACTAAAAACACTCCCACTCAATGATGATTCCCCATTTACAATTGCATTTTGAGAACGATCATTTAGTCATCATTTAATCCATTTAACATGTGCCATGTTAATTTTACCTTCTAGTTTATAATCAAAATATCTTGTGCAACCAAGTCAACAAAAAATATATCAAATTAGTTTGATCTATTTTCCATAAACCCATGTTGATTGGCATTAATTATATTCCTTGACCTTAGTTATGGAGATATACCTATCTCATAGAACTGGAAGGGACCCCGAAAGGTCATAGAGTCCAGCCCCCTGCCTTCACTAGCAAGACCAAGTACTGATTTTTGCCCGAGATCCCTAAGTGGCCCCCTCAAGAACTGAACTCACAACCCTGGGTTTAGCAGGCCAATGTGCAAACCACTGAGCTATCTGTCCCCCCGTTCCTTCTGTGCTGTAGACACATCAGGCAAGTCCAGTTCCTCCATTGATTATGGTAACTTGCTAGTTGTGGCGTTTCTTCCTAGGCGATGCCAACACCTTCCTTTTCTTCTATCACTGTCTTCTGCCAATTCTTCCTTGGCCTTACTCACTTTCTCTTTCTTACCACAAGTACCCAATTCAATGCTTGCTGAGCATGTCTCCTATTTTCCATACAGTTTACATGCCCCAACCACCTGAACTTCTTGTCTTTGGTTATATTTTCTAACATCTCCTGCTTTGTCAGCCCTCTTACTCTTGTGTGAATCGTTCAGTGTCGTTTTTAGCCTTCTGGAATGGACAGCCCCCAATCTCTTTTTGTTAGCCACTGTTATAGGCCAAGTCTCTGCTCCTTATAGCAGCGTGATCCTTACAATTGCACAGTATAATCTGACCTTTAGTTTGTGCAGATCTGTGTGATCAGATGTTCCTCCTTCCAAAAATGGTGTTTGCTTTTCCTAATCTCATATAAGTATGATTATTATAGCCACCTGCAGATGTCGTCACTATCCCCAGATAGCAGAACTCTTCTATCTGTTAGATTTCTTTTCCATCCACTTTTGCATTTGTTGTCCAGTTTCCTACCTTCATAGTCTTGGTTTTCTCTGCTTTTACTTTCAATACTTTTTTTTTATTATTATTATTATTATTATTATTTTTGGCTTCCTGTTCTGCCCCAGAGGGCATCAAAACAAAGGGCAATCATTCTGTTTTGTGTCGTACTTAGTAAAGCTATGTTGCCTGCAAAGTCAAGGTCTTGTAACCCATCTCCACTTATCCATTATATACTGTCTACCATGCTGCTTGTTGCCCACATCATCACCCAGTCTATTGCTAATGCTAAGAAGATTGGTGATAACACACACCCTTGTCTAACTCCAGTCACAGTATTGAACCTCTCACCCAGGCCTGTAACTGATCTTACTGCGCATCTGTTTCCATAGCTTGTCTGGTCTCCCATTGCTCCTAGCAATATTCCACAGGGTCTCTGTGAACCCTATTGGATGTTTTCTTAAAGACGAGAAAGTTGAGTAAGGTGGGTTCTTGCCATGCAGTAGTTTTCCCAATGATCCGTTGAAGACTGAATGTCTGTTCCCAATGTGATGTACATCGATAGAACTTACCCTGTTAATTATATTACTCTCCTTTAATTCTTTATTAATTGAGTGCTGTATCAGCAGCTACATTATGTTGCCTGGGATCAATGCCAGACTGCTAGGCCTATAATTACCCAGGTTCTCTTGTTTACGTTTTTGAATATGGGTACATTAACTTTCTTCCGGAACTTTCCCAGTATTCCAAGATTTATTAAAAACCAACATTAATGGTCCAGCGAGCTCCTTAGCCAGCTCTTTTAAAATGTTAAGTTGCGTGTTACGTGGACCTGCTGATTTAAAAAGGTCTAACCTTAGTAGCTGCTGTTTAACATCCTCCTACTTGTTTCCAGTTGCTAAATACCACTAACATAAGTTAAATGTACATTATTTTCCTATTATATTTTTCCACATAAGCAATTGCTGTAGATGCCACAGAGATTTTATGCGATTGTGGTTGAGAAGAGATGACCAGCGGACAGTCTCTCTTCTAAGATATGGGTGACCCCAGGACACTGTTTGGAGCCCCCAGTCCAAACAGTACTAAATGCAGAAACCAATGGCAGTGTAATTGTTACATTCCCCAGCATTTATGGAATGCAGAAATGAAATCTCACAGCCTCCTTCACTTGGCTATGGTTCTCACCTTGCAGGCTTTGCTTTTCTCTTTAACATACACAAATGGTATATTGAACTGCACCCTAACCAGATAAGCAGGAAATATAAGATCTGGGCTATGCTGCCCTTGGAACTGTCCCTTTTTGATTAAATAAATCATAAATATAATTGGGGTATTTCCCAGGTCAGCAAGCACAATGATGAATTCATTGTCACTTGGGGTATGTCTACACAGTAATTAAAAACCCACAGCTGGCCTGTGTCAGCTGACTCTGGCTCACAGAGCTCAAGCTATCGGGCTGTTTAATTGTGGTGTAGACATTAGGGCTTGGGCTGGAGCCCAGGTTCTGGGACCCACAAGAGGGGAGGGTCCCTGAGCCTGATCACCACAGGGTATTGAGTGCTAAAGTGTTCACTGATGTAATAGGGAAGAACAGTTCCCTTGACTGCAGGAATCATTGGGTGAGATTCTCTGGTCTGTGATACACAGGAAGTCAGACTAGATGATCTAATGGTTCCTTCTGGCCCTAACATCACCTTGACCTTCAGTTATTACATGCTCCGCACAGTGGACAAAACATCTGTTGCGTTGGGAGAGATCAGTGAAGAATTGAAGGTTTTTTTGCAGCCCCTCCAAAATGCGAGGGTCAAATCTGACTGGTCTTTAACTCCCTGTGTGGCTCATCACACAGCACACACCTGATAATGTTCTGCTGCACATCTTCAATTTTCCTACATTTTAAAATCTTTTCAAATGTTCCTAACTTCATTTAAAGTAAGTTGTTTTTGGACTGAGATGCCTCTCTTTGCCAAATTAGAAGTTTCAAAGTTCAGCTGTTTTGAGGTTTCTTCTGACTTCCCCCACAATGAGTGTAGTCAGATTTTTTTTTTTTTTTAAGTAAGAAAAATATTTTTTTCTAATCTCTCCATTCTTAAATGGCTCAGCAGTTTTACCAATCTTTCTAAAAATGTCACCTTTTGGCAGAGACCGGCCATGGGAGTGTTCAACCCCAAAAATAAATCCTTCAGGAATTCTAAAAGTTAAATCTGGCTATTTCTAAAGGAAGCTGCTTTGTAGCCCTAACTGTAGAAGTTATCACCAACTGCTGTATTCATTAAGTTGATAATACTTATGACATCTGCTTTATGCTTGTCACTTCTGTTTGTGTTGTCGGGTGATCAGCTGTCATGTACTTCATGAGTTATCCAAATAGGATTTCATCTGGGCCAATCCTATATTAAACTAGGGCTAGTATTTCTCCTGTCTAAAGCATTAATTTTATCTGTGGTCAAAATGTTTGATGCATCTATTGTTTCTCATTTGGAGGGAACTGTGGTTTTAGAATGTGTCCTAAGACCTCATGCCTAGATGTAGGAGACTAATAAGATGTGGGAAACTATATACACGTACACAAGAATTCACATAAACAGATCCAGTAGGGAAATATTTGCCTTGACTGGGCTTGTGGGAGCTGAAGTCCTTAAATGATGATGTGGACACTGTGGTTGTGTAATGTGTTAAGTCTGCCACTGCTTGGTTTCACAGACTTTTTATCTCAAACCTATGTGTGAAAGTTTGTATGCTAACTCTGGATATTCTTGTTATCCCAAGAATAAATGGGATATAAATGTCCCATCCTTTTTAAAATTTTGTTAAATTCATGGCCTCAACTACTTCATGTGGCAGTGAGTTCTACAGTTTAATCACGCATTGTATGATAAGGCACTTTTTTGTTCATTTTGAATTTTCCACCTTTTAATTGCACTGTGCATCCCCTTGTTCTTGTGTTGAGACAAGGATAACAGATGTTTCCAATCTCCCTGAGCAGTCGTCATTTTAGGTACTTCTGTCATACCCCCTCTTATTGGTCTCCTTTTCAAAGTAACAATCCCAGTCTTTGCAATCACTCTTCATATGAGTCTTTTTCTAGGCCCTTGATCACTCTTGTCACTCTTCTGTGCAACCCATCTAGTTCTGTAGCATCTTCTTGGAGATGAGGGGTGACCAGTGCTATACACAGTGTCCACATGAGGCCGCACCATTGACTTATATAATATTCTCTGTATTATTCACCATCCCTCTGACATTTCCTCCTCCCTTGCCCCACATATTCAGAGTTTGATGCTTCCTCTCTAGCCGCTCCTAAGGGACTGAGGAGAGTAAATGGGCCTTGCATTGTGCCCAGGAATAAGGGAAACAGAATATTCTGTTATGGACAAGCTCTGTCCTATTTTTAGTGCACCTTGGGAAGCTGGTAGATTGGTTGTGTAAGGTGGAAGAAATGTAGACAGCAAGAAAAGAGCTGAATGTGGGATTGTGCTCTGTATAAACAGATGGTACAGTTCTGCAGCTCTGATACTGACGTTATTAGCATGCTTTCATTGGAAAAGTAATTAGCAACTCCTTGATAATTTGACTGAATTAATACATTTTTCTGTAATCTGTTACTTCTCTTTGGGATCCATCTTTAGCCATGATCCTTTTTATAACTTGCACAATTTAAGAAGTAAACTAATTATCCTGAAACAACCATCCCCTTGCTTGATAGGCTCTTCCCGATGCCTGACAAACAGTGGCTACACTGGAAGTTTTTTGTCGGCAGGAGAGCTGACAAACAGTGGCTACACTGCTCAATTGTGTAGTGTAGGCATAGCCTCTAAAACCTGGCTGGATTCAGCACAAAAATAAGTTTTAACTAACAATATAATTCTTTCCTCTGTTGCCCTGGGAATGTCCCCAGAATGCAACTGCAGCATCGCAATTATTAGGCATCTCTTTGTTTCCTATGGTACTTGTGCTCTCAGAATGATGCTCAAAGCAGGTCAGCAAGTAAATTTCAGGAGTGGGTTTTTTATGAAGTTCAGTTAGTTAAAACTTCATTCCACTGTGTGCCACCTCACTTTAGCTTGCAGGGGGAGGAAGGGGACAACATGACACAACAGAGGCTTTCAGCACACACTCGTATAAGCTTCAAATCCCAATTTCATTTTGGTGTGCAGTGTTTCTTTGACTGCGCACATTTGTTCATGATAGCAGTGGTCTAGATGTTTCTTTTTTAAAACAAAAATTGAATTTATATAAATTAAATTCTTCTATTTCAATAGGTTTATTTAAAAAAAATAAAACTAGTTCAAAAGTGACAACCTATGTGAAGACCTAAACTTAAAATCTATTAAAATAACTCTAAATTAAATACAAATAATATTAATCAGTACATACTTGTTGCCAAGTTTTAAAGAAAGTGACACCACTGAATTGGTGAAAGTCACTGGCTAAGCACCTGAAACCAGAGTTTGCTGAAGTGCTAATCTTCTGACAGCAGAAACATCTACTACAGGTGCAGAGAGAATATTTTCTTCATTTCAGTTCATTCAACTAGTTCAGTTCAATGACTAGCTCATTCAAAGTTTGAGACTAACTGGGATTTGAAAAAGGATAGCTTGTTTTTCCTTTTCCAATCTCTGAATAAGAACTAGGTGTGAGAAATGAGATGTACTAGATCTAAAATCTTGAAAGACATAGTGACCAGAAACAATCAGTTCAGTTCACTAACTGCAGATACTTCCTTTTGTTTAATAAATCAGTTTTAAATGCAAGACATGTTTTGACAAACTTTTTTTATGTATCCTGCACATTCAAGGTAGTTTTATTTAACTGAAAATTTAAAATGCTGGTTTTGTGCATTTTTAACTGATTTTGAATTTTCATTAATCTACTGAAAAGAAAATGATGAATGATGCATTTCTTAAACTTATTCAAATTCTTAATTTTTACTCTAAGCTAAATAGTTACCTAAATAGTATATCCTCCTGATTAGCAAATTATTCTTATTAGTAGAGTAAAGACTTATTAATAGTCTTATTGTAAAGACTGTGTTTAGTTGCAGATCAACATGCTTTAGTGGTAACCCATCAACGAGAATCAGCCTTTTTTTTTTTTTTAGAAAATAACTATAAGTACAAATGCAAAACACTATTAAAATTAATTATTTAAATCAAAGTTTCCTGCTTGCTGATTTAAATCATGATTACAATTGGTGATTTAAATAGCTTTGATTTAAATCAATCTCCCAGGATAGACCATCGGGGGGGAGTAGCTCTGCATGTTTCTGTAATATTGGTTCTAACACCTCAGGGTAGCTATGAGTTTATTGCTAGGCATAGAGTGCCCGCACAGCCCCTGCATTACCAGAATCCACCTGGTCACTTAGAGATCCCTTGACTATGAATGGTGCTATCCACAGTGCCAGCCTCTTAGCAAAGCCCTTGGGTTAGTATGCACTCCTCTGTGGGATGTTAATGTGGAAGGAAGAGGAGGATACTGAAAGTTGTGATTTGATGTGTATGTAAAATAGTGTTTTCCAGAGCTCTGTTTTAGAAGGAAGATAGTCTCTGATAGCAGCCTTGGTTTATTTTAAATTCTAGCTCAGGTACTACTGAAGGTCTATGCAGGGTTGTGTTACTGGAAAAGGCTTAGCAGGAATACCCCTCTTGTCTAATTGGAAGCTGCATATTTTGTACGTCGCTAGTGTGAAGCTGGCAAACTGAACACAGCAGGTACAGGACAAATGTTATTTTGTACCAGTACCCCATAAAAGAGCTGATGAAATCAATAATTCCTGGGAAACTTTTTGTATTTAGTCTGCATTGAATAGCTTGCTCTTTAGTCCAGTGACCTATTAGGTCACAAGTATATTTTCTTTACCATATGTTTCTATAACACTGTGTATTAATGCAGCCCTGTCAAATTTGATTTGCCTGGGCAAGTGACTTGTTTTGTTTTTGGAGGGTGAGCAAAATAATCATTCTCACCCTTCCATTGTCAGTCATGGTAACAAGCAGGCTAATAGAGCTTGTCTGAGTTGTTGTGACTTATTGACCTATAGAAGCTTGTGGCCATGTCTGTCCAGTACTCTGAACACTTACCAGAGGTCTGGAAGAGTCAGTACATCTAATTCTTCAGCTTCTTGAGAACTGACCCATTTGTCTCTTCACAGGGGTGGTGCCTTATTAACCAGCCCAAGTGGACCAGGCTATCACATCATGCTCCCATTCATTACCACCTTCAAATCAGTGCAGGTTAGTAACTTCTCACAGGGGAGCTGGAATAGGGTGGGGTTGTATGGGGTATCTGTCAAATATGACAGTGGAGCTGGAATTTTGCCTAAATAAAGGCCATGTTAGCCAGTTCTCAGTAGCATAAGAGCACACTAGTTTGGCCCACTGATCAGATTGTAGCCACCCTCCTCTCTGATGTTGGGGTGCAACCCCTGGTATGCCCATAGTACTACAGCTTCCAGTATGCAGCATGGCCTGTAGCAGCTGCAGGTCCCAGAAATCAATGATCCATTTTGCTGCAAGAGGCCAGGCCCCACTGCACATGGCTGTGCACTACTTAGTAGATCACCATGGACTACATTTGGTCTATTGCCTTTTGTTGTGCTTTGCCCTCCCCTGAACTGTTACCACTACAGTGAGTTTGGAAGGGCTGAATGAATTAATCTGCTTCACTGTGGCTATAGGTGCTGGTGGCTTCCTGACAGCATGTAGTGTGGAAACACCCTGCACTGCAAATGAATGTGGGCTCCATGTTGTTTTTCCAATGGGAGCTCTTCACTGGCGCAAACAAAAAGCTACTCGCTGACCCTGGGGCTCCTGCCTTGGGACGCTTCCACTGTCGACACCATGTGTCTTCCCAATACTTGGGTCCGCAAGCATTCACTTTGCCATTTGCCAGGCAGGGAGCTGCAATCCTTTTGGGCACTGAGGGAAGGAGAGGAAGGGGGAAAGAGAATGGAGTTCCCTGCACCATCCCCTTCTTCCTCAACTGTCACAGGGAGTGGGTGCTAGAGAAGTTCCTTCTGCTCCCTGCCTATAGCAGCCACAACCCCCAACAGCCTGAAGAGTGGTGCTCCTCCTAGTGTATCCTCCCCATTCTCAGCAACCATTACAGAGCATGAGTGCTGAGCTTCCAGTGAGCGTGGCCTGAACTGGGCTAGAAAGTTCTGCAAGGGCCTGTCTAGGGCTTGGCTGTTGACTGGTAAGTGACTGGTTTCTCTGTGAGCCCTGATTACATGTCTCTTGTTTCAGACAACATTGCAAACTGATGAAGTAAAAAACGTGCCTTGTGGGACGAGGTATGTTGCTCCTGTATGTTCTTCCTGGATGTGGCAAGCCAATGTGATCGGTCTAATTCTCAACTTGTGGCTAATTCACTCGTAGGCGCTAGCTTTTGAGGGGGGTTGGATATGACATAAAGCCTGTTCAGAGTGTTTGTCTGGAAACATAGTGGATATGGGTGGGAATAGTAACGGTTACTCTTACATTGCTCCCTGCTGGGGCCAGAACTGACTTTCTGCAGTTGTCTGTGCATCAGTGCCGCTTTCTCAAGGGTGTGTTCTTGTCTGTCTCTCTTGTTTTACCTTTCTCCTGTTATCTGATCCTCCATCACTCGTTCTTTCCCTTAACCAACCTCTTAGTGCTTCTAGTTTGGAATTTGCTCTCTAATGACAGAAGCCCGACCACTGATTTCCATGATATCCTAGGAAAATAAGAACAGCATCCCATTGGATTGGGCTTGCACAGTTGGAATGTAGTCCCACCACCTGAAATGAACCCTGACAAAAAGCCAGGATCTGGTTCATCGCAGACTAATTGTCAGTCTGGATGGTCAGAAACTTTCTCTGAAGTAAAAGAGCAGATGAATGTTGTACAAGATGCAAACCTTGTAAGTAAAGTTTAGCACTTCAATAGCATTTAAATATCCAAGTGCTGTCTAAGCATTAGTTAAAGTAGCAGTAACAATGCATTGTGTGTGCAGTGCTTATCTTCACAAAGTATCCCAAAGTGCTTTATTTATACACATGTTCATGGATTGTTAATGTTGCAAAATCAACCTCTTGGGTCTGGAAAATTCTAGAACTGAAAGTTTCTTCTGAAATGTTAACCTAGTTATATTGCACATCCTGTATATTTTATGGCATAAGTCAGTAATATTCCACTCATTTCTGTGGGTCAGTTAACGAGATCCTGCCACAAAATGAAACACCTTTCTTGAATTATAGACCAATCAGCCTAACTTTGATACCTGAAAAGGTACTGGAACAAACTGTAAGCAATCAGTTTGAAAGTACCTAGAGAATAATAAGGAATACAGCAGGTCCGCGGTATATGTCAGGGTTGTGTTCTTGAAAAGGGTCATGTATACTGAAACGTTGTATACCGGGGACCTGCTGGTACAGCAGTGGCATGGGCAGGAGGGGGGTTGGGAAGCGGGGGCTTCTGCTCCGCCCGGCGCTTCTGCTGAGGCGTGGGAGCTTCTTCCGCTGTGCCCGGCGCTCCTGCCAGGGTGCGGGAGAGCAGAGCGGGCTTGCAAAGCCCCTGCTCCCCGGCTGGAGCGCCGGGTGGGTGGTGTGGGGCAAGTGCTGGGGAAGAGGGAGCTGGATGTATACATCTCCCCCTTATCCCTTATTTTGCATATCTATCGCTGATCAGTAGGGGAACGTGTTCCGATTCACGTTGGTCCTCATATCCATCGTTTGCAACTTACAGTACAGTACTGCAAACGATGGATATGCGGATCGGGACCGACGTGAATCGAAACAAGTTCCTCTATTGATGAGCGATGGATATGCGAAACAACGGATAAGGGGGAGACATATACCGGGGACCCCCTGTAGCCAGCATAGATTTGTCAAGAACAAAATCATGCCAAATCAACTTACTTGACTCCTTTGACAGGGTTACTGGCCTAGTGCAGAGTGGGGAAGCAGTAGATGTGATGTATCTTCATTTTAGTAAGGCTTTTGGTTCAGTCTCACATGACATTCTCATAAGCAAATAAAATTACTATAAAGTTGAAAGACCGTACTCAGAGTAGTTATCAGTGATTTGCTATCATACTGGGAGGGTGTATTTGGAGAGGCGCCACAGGGGTCAGTCCTGGGTGCAGTAGTAATCCAGTATTCTCATTAACTACTTGGATAATGGAATGGAGAATATGCTTCTAAAATCTGCAGATGACACCAAGCTGGGGGGAGGGGTTGCAAGCACTTTGGAGGAAAGGTTTAGCATTCATGATGACCTTGACAAATTAGAGAAATTGGACTGAATTCAACAAGATGAAATCCAATAAAGATAAGTGCAAAATGCTTCACTAGGAAGAAAAATCAAATGAACATCTACAAAATGGGGAATAATTATGTGGTAGTACTGCTGAAAAGGATCTGGGGGCTGTAGTGGATCACAAATTGAATGAGTCAGCAATCTAAGGCAGTTGCAAAAAAAAGACTGATCTTCAGGGGTGTATTAAGAGGAGTGTTGTATGTAAGACATGGAAGGTAATTGTCCCGGTCCACTCAGCACTGGCGAGGCCTCAGCTGGAGTACTGTCCCCATTTCTGGGCTCCATGCTTTAGGAAAGATGTGGACAAATTGGAATGTCCAGAGAAGAGCAACAAAAATGATAAAAGGTTTAGAAAACCTGACCTCTGAGGAAAGGTTAAAAAAAAAACAAAAAACGGGGCATGTTTCATCTTGAGAAAAGATGTTCGGGGGGCAGGGGGAACCTATAACAGTCTTCAAATATGTTAAGGGCTGCTGTTGTAATAACGAGGACTGTGATCAGTTGTTCTCCATGTTTAATGAAGGTAGGACAAGAAGTAATGTGCTTAATCTTTAGTGAGGGAATTTAGGTTAGATATTTAAGAAAAACATTCTAACTATAAGGGTAGTTAAAACTCTGGAATAGGCTTCCAGGGGAGGTTTTTGAACCCCCATCTGTTGGAATTAATATTATTTATGCAGGGTGTTACCATGGCACTAATTTAACCATAAATTCCTGTATTAAATCCAAAGGCCACTTATACAATTCCTCTAAACATTCCTTAAAAAGCCTAAATAATCAATGTACTACATCCAACAGCAACAAAACATTTATAAACGTTTGATCAAGATACTTACAAACGGGCTAAACCCTGGGGTGCTTAGACCTGTATTGGTTGGCTCCAGCATGGTCAGGCAGGTATTAGCAATCTTTGAGTTTACTTTTTATACCCTTCAACAAATAAGTGATGTCATTCCCAATTACTAATTTTAGCTAAAAACCCATTTGAGACCCCCCCTCCCCCGATGTTCACTGCACCATCACTCTGTCCCCTACTAGCCAATCTACACTTTGGGCCGGTTTGTTAAAGTATGCCCTCATTTTGGCATGAACCTGCCCCTGTTGCTGTGCCTGGATAAATCCATGTTTTGTTTTCCCTGGTGGATAGCTTTTAGCATAAACCAGGCAATTGTTAATATGAATTTTTACATCTTTTTTTTTTACAATGGGGCCACCACGCTGCCTTAATTAGTCACTGATAAGTGGTATCAGCATTTTGGTGGGCCATCGATGGCACATCATGCACCAGTCTTAACATTTCCCTGTTAAGGGGCTGTGGTGGAACTTTCCCTGGGTAGGAGTGATTTTACCATTTAACTCCCCAAGCATTACTTTTTGTGTAAGAGGATATCTCTGGATCAGATTCTTGCAATGTTACTAAATCAATGGTTTTTGCTTGTGCTCAAATGGTAAAAGCAAGAACTGGATAATTGGGCGTGGGACCACACCAAAGCATGGCTATTAGCAGCTTCATTCACTCTGTTTTTCTTGCTCACTTCCCCATGTCTGGTATGAGCTTTTACTTTATCCACATATACCACTGAGTTAGCCCATTTACCTGCTAGTTCCCACATATAGGACAAAAGGGCTTGATAGCATAAAGGCTTGTAATCTGCACTGCAAAATGAATTTGCACTACACCAAGGGAGGAGGTTGTTAAGGCATCACAGACCCTTACAGTCTGAACATATTACACTAGCTGGTACTTGTCCTTTATTACTGAGTGATAATGCCTCTGCTACAGCAGCCAGCACAGTATACAATGTGTGAACTACAACTGTGTTGCACAGGTTCACCGTGAACCGAGAGAGCCCAAACCATAAATTCTGTGACGGGTCCCTTTTGGTATTAGGACAACCCACTAGCATATATTGTCAGACCCTCAGGGTGCAGCCCTTCAGAATTTAAATGTATGTACTGCACATGGATAAAAGGGATAGGGGCCCCTCGTGAGAGGGAATTTCTCTAGGACACTTGTATGGATTACCATTAATGAATAGTCCTGCTGGCAAAGGTGAGGGTTGTTTAAGAGGACAGAGTTCAGTTTGGTGCTCTTCCAGCAGCAGGAACCATAGTGTCAGTCTAGGACTAGACACTGTACCGTTTTTAATTTTACCAGACAGAAGACACTGTAGAGGATGATGAGCAATGTACATTTTTATGCGTCCCAACCCCACTAGATATCTGAAAAGTTCACAGCAAAAATTGGTTTTCATAGGGAGTAGACTGCTTTTCAACTCCATTGAGTACTCTGGAAGCGTAAGCTTTCTCTATCACAATAGTCCTGAGTTAACGCAGTTGAAATGGCTGTGTCCTTGGTTGCTACAAACAATCCAAAAGCCAAAAGGTACAGTTGCTTAAAACATGCCTAAAAAGCCTAATAATAAGCAATTTACTATATCCAACAGTAACAAAACATTTATACACATTTGATCGAGATACTTAAACGGGCTAAACCCAGGATTGCTTAGACCCGTATTGGCCAGCTCCGAAATGGTCAGGTAAGTATTAGAAATGAACCCTTTTAAGAGTTTACCCTTCAAGTTCACCCTTATTTCCAGTCTTTATCTAGGTAAGATTTACAACTTCCTTTCTTCCTAAGGCCTTTCCTCCCCTTCTTCTTGCTGACGCAACAGTTTGTCAATTGCCTCTGGGTTCACGTAGGCTTTAACATAGGTGTGTGGGTTGAGAAGAGCCATGTCTGGCTCATTTTAAGACAGATCTTTTTTCACATCTATCAGTCAGAGGCCTTCTTTTTAGAAACTTCCCCTTATCTCATTAGTTATTCTTTGAACCAAACATCCTCCCTACTTCATTCCTTCTGGTCTTATAACTCATTATTTTCAATGAATTCTACTTGCTAGTGACAGCCTTTCTTTACAACACACACATTTCCTTAACTAAACTTAAGTTAACCTTAATTTTTTAATTTCATATTTATCCTACACTATCATTAGAAGTTTTTATTAACAGG